TCCGTACTGAAGTAACGGGTACTTGGATGTACTGATTTTCAGTCCCCGTTACAAAATACCCGGTTCGGTAGTACCGACTCTTCACTATTCAAGAGTGGTGGTGGTAGTAGTACTTTGTAGTGGTGGTACTAGAGGTTTTCAATTTTTGTTTAGATGGTACGTGTTACTCAAAAGATTGAGAACCGCTGATCTGTACTAAGGCCAGATGTGGTGGTCTCTTTATTATGAAGGCACCTAATAGGTGGGCCACCATTGTTTCCTATGAAGGGACAGACAGTTACAACCATCTCTTCTCCGGTATTCAAACCCATGCTCTTCGCTATCACAGTCAGGCTTCCCTAACCATTATACTGTCTGGGCAGCCTTCAGTTAGAGTTCGATCACAGAGTTTCTGTCAGTTGTTTTTTTTCTTTATGAGATAAAATGTCAGGTACATTTGAACAAAATGGATTTCTAATTCAATTTTCTTTTTCATAATCCAATATTATACTTTTATTTATTTATCAATAAATACTTGTTAATTATTTATCAATGAAAAACGATGATTTTTAATATTGGATGCTAATTTTTCTTTGATTTTTCAAATTATTTTTGTTTAGAAAACTTTCTAAAAGTTTTAAAAAAGCTTAAAATATTATTATTCATTTCTTTGATTATTAGCTCCAGTTTCTTTTTTAGTCCAAAGGTGCTTTGTCCCTGAAGAACAACTATTGTTTTAGTTTTGCGTTAAAAACTTTAAAAGGCTGTATCACTTTTCAAATCATTGCCACCAAATGCTATCACCCTGTATTTGAAGAAATTAAATAATGAAAAATTTGCATAAATGTATGTATGTTTCTTGCATTGTGATAAAACAATGGTGTAAGCCATCCAATTTTGAATTACGTAATCATTCTGCAAATATGGGCATCTGAAAGTTCAAATTTGAAACTTGGAATTTGTTTTATTATCGATTACATATTTTGTAAAATTTTAACGAATTTTTGATTAACAAACTCTCAATGATTTAAAAGCGAGCAATGGCTCTCTATGGGGCGGGGACCTTTTTATCTCCAGCGTGTGGAACTGTATATAGGAAATTCTAAACTTATGCTCATTAAAAAATTACTTTCCAACATTGCTGTTGAACTGAATTTAATGGTTCAAGTGCAGAGAACATGATATTTAATAAATAAAGGGGACACACAAAACATTAAAAAAAAGCCTCTTTGGATGTAATTTAAAATCTGCAGCCTTTCAGATTTTTTTTTATACATTGCATTTATTTGATCTCCAAAAGCAAATAAATTAACACTTTGTCCTTGTAATCCTGAATTTAATTTATTTAACTTCTAAAAAAAAATCTGCAAAAAGCTTAAAATATTATTATCCAATTCTTTGATTATCGAGTTTTTTTTAATCATTGCTTTTATTTTATTTCTAACGGTAAACAACATTTGTTCTTATAATCATTTTTTCGGTAACATTTTGTTCTTATAATCCTAAATTTAATTCATTTAATTTTCCGAAAATGACAGCTAAGTATGCTCAACCATAATTTCCTAAATAAACATTTTTGCAATTCCTGTTTTGATTCACAAAAAAAGGAAAATTTGAATTTCTGATTGAAATTCAAAAAGACGATTTAAAAGTCTGACTCTGGATAACCACTTTACTTCAGAATGTGACAAAGGTATTTCATGTTCATTGCCCATCTCTTGGCATAAAATTATAAATATTCTTGAATTTAAAGCTTGGCCTTTAATAAAATTAACAATTTTCACAGTTTGATTCAAAATGATTTTCAGATTTTCCGCAATTGTTTTGTCTACTAAAACTTCACGATGAATGGAGAAGTGAGTAAATTTAGTTTCAGATGTGACTTTATTTGAGAAATAACGTAGGAATTTTTCCTTTTAAAGCTTCGTCATTGCATACGCCAATGCACTAAATCAATGGAATATCATTCTCAGACATAAAATTATCAATTACTTTAAAAATTTCATTTTCATTTGCTCTATCATGAAGAGAAGCACAAAATAAATACTCTTTGGCAATTCGTTTATCTTCTTCGAAATGTATGTTAACTAATAATTGAACGAACATCGTTATGTGATTACTTTCATCTAATTGTAATGCGAAACACTCACTATGTGTTATTTTTTGAATTTGTGTCTCTTTTATGGAATTTGCCATTTCATGAATTTGTCTACTTTCTCTATCATTTGATAATGGAATATTATTATGTTCATTAGCTACTTTTTCATTGAGCACTGTTAAAACAATATCTTTAGCTGCTAGTAATAAAAGTTCAAAATGCGGACCTTAAAACCACCAACAAGGTTTTTCTTGTAGGCTTTATGCATGCACATTTGATTTCCCCCTCTGCACATAATAAAACATCTGAAGAGTTCTGATTCTTAATTTCACTTCAACACTAAATAAAATGCCATGTCATTGAAGAAACAATCATTTTAGCATAAATATGTACGATCAGTAATTTGGCTCCATTGCTACATATCTGCTTGGCAGCCATCCCAAACTGAAACATTCCATGCCAAAAGCTGATGAATCATTATTTATTATACTTTCCTTTCATCACCACATGTTTATCAAAATGTGACAACTTGAGTAATGACTCATGTAGCACTGCCTAAAGAATTTTTTTATGTATCCTGGTGTGGTAACCTTTTTTGTTGACATTACGCTTGGCGATGATTACAGATTTGTGTTAAATATGCTAAAACATGTTGACAAGGAAAAATTTACCAAAAATTTTTTTCCATATGCTGAAAATATATTTTGTTGAGGATACTCATAGACCCAAAGATTACATTTAGGGCTGTTTGAATTAAAAATAACTGATTTGTTATTCACATAAACCCAGAACCAGCGCCAGGGCTCGTATGGCTGCAACGAGTCGCAGAATTTAGGACCCACAGATGCTGCATCAGGCAGTCGCTGGCCCTCAATAAAGCTTAAGTATATGTGGCAATTTATTTATTCAGAACTCTGATAAGCCTTAAGCATGTGGAAGAAATAGACATAAGTATAATAAATAACTGAACTAATACAATTCAGGCTTAATTGTCTCAGTGCGTGATAGAAGCTAGATAAAATTTAAGGGAACAACTTGTCATTAGTCGCCAAGCTCATGATGCATAGCCAAATATGTATAGTGAAGGATAGCTAAATTTGATAATGATTGCCGCTAATTTTAAAGGTTTTCGAATATCGCAAAACAAAGGTGAAATTTTCCAATTAATGGATTTTGTAAAGAAATGTTGAGAAGCGGTAATAAATGAAGATGATATAACAGCAGTTTTTTATTGCAATGGCAATGCCGCAATCATCAATCAATAAACAGATGTCGAAATCTGTAGTGTGCTTCTAGATCCAGAAAATACTGCTACCGATAGTGAAGGAAGTCGACAGAAAAGGTGCTAAAAACGAGAAAATTTCGATTGACAAGTTAGTCGGAATTCTTGAAACGGCAGTTACAGGACTTCAACAATGTAACTGAACAAAAGATTAAGTCTGTCTACAGAATTAAAGAGAAAGTCTTAGCACAAAAAACGAAGCAACTTAAACAACTTACATTGAAAGAAATGTTTAACCGCTTGCTTGATTATCCCGAGTTATCTCGGGTTGGTATATATTGCAGTTAATTATTATGCCGGGAAACTCAGGCAAAGCAGAATTTGGTAGTACGATTCGTTTTATTACATTTTTACTTGCTCTTGAGGAAATAAAAGGAAATACAGTCAAAAGTCGTTAATCCGGACTCGTCAGGACTTCGGCGATTCCGGATTATCGATTTTTCCGGATTATAGATCATCAGTTTAAATCTCGTAAGATGGCATGCAGAAATTCTAAAATTAAAAATGTGAAACCGTAATTTATGAAATAAAGAACAATTATGATCTAAAGGGTATTAAAATTTGCAAAAAGAAAAAGCTTAATATTTATTTGTTTACTTTATTAAACATTTCTTTCAATGTAAGTTGTTTAAGTTTTGCTTCGTTTCATGTGATAATACTTTCTCTTTAATTCTATTAAACAGACATAATTTCTTGTTCAGTTACAAAGTTCCGCCGTTCAAGTCCTATAATTGCTATGTCAAGAACACCGACTAATTTGTCAATCGAAATTTTTTTGTTTTCAATAACCTCTGTCACTTTTCTTCGCTATCGGAAGCGAATTATAATGACGAGGAACTTGTTTTAAATCATATCAAAGACGGAGCATATCGAGATGAAGATGAAATACTACATTTGGTAAGGAATTATAAGCCAAATAAAATAAAAACATCTGCGCTGAAGATAAGGATAGTGCTGACAAATCAACTTCCAATTCATTAGGCGCCGCGCATTCCCCCCGCCGAGCAGCGTGAAATTGATAAACAGATTTCGGATTTCAAAACATACTTTCGCTTTAGATCCTTTACATATTAACAAATATATATCGGAAATTCTATTTGATATAATCGAAAGTTTAAGCTTACTTTTATAAAATTGCTCTTACAGTCTGCAAAAAATAATAAGCCGGATGCAATTCGAAAATTAAGGAACAACGCAATCATCAACATTAACTGAAATAGATAATTAGATAATTTTAGCTTATACATCCATTATACATAAAATGCGCACGCGAAAACGTATTCTGCACTTGCGCACACTCATATGCGCAGTCGTAAAAGGTCTTACGCGCACGCGTGAACGCCTCTGCGCATGTGTCAACGTGGTGCATGCGCAGAAAGTTTTTAGTTTTGATGTCCGGATTATAGATCATTCCGAATTATGGGTGTCCGAATTAACGACTTTTGACTGTATTCAACTTTGATTGGCAGTTTGCGAAGTTTTGTTGGTTTCGCGGTTCTTTTGGCAGGACTGGTTACGTGTTTCCCTATTGTATAGTATATGTCGGTTTGTGGATTAGTAACGTATGAAGAAGGATACTTGTGTTGAAAAAAGTAAAATAATGGCGATGGTGCAAGACAGCGGTTTGCACCATCACAGATTATGAAAAGGTGGAAAGATTATGAAGAGAATTATGCGAGGTGGAAAGATTATGAGAGATTATTATTAGAAGAGGATTATGAGAGGTGGAAAGATTATGAAGAGGTTCATATAGTGATTATGAAGAGGTGGAAAAAAATCAAATCCTACGACACAGTGTACTATATGCTCCCATAGAAGAGAGCGGTAAGTCAGTAAGAAAAGAGACCAGGACGGTTATTCTACGCTACGAGAGTCGACAGCAAGTTGTGGGCCGCCAGATGTCGCTGCTAGTAAAAAACAGGTCTGCCCAACATCCTATATTCTCTGAGTACGGAAGTTGTCGAAAGCGCGTGAAAAAGTGTTGCCGCGTCGTCAATCAGGGTTGTCCAGTTGACGTACTAAGTAGACAATGGCTTTGTATGTGTTTTCGCCGCTGATTTTTTTCATATTTAAACGAAGAATACCGTCGTAGATCTCTGAATCGATGGCGAATTTATAGAAAATATGTTGATGCTTTTGCTCTGCCAAAAGATGTTTTCATTGCGTATTTCAGATTGCCAAAATTTATAGTTATTTTAATTTGAGATGAACTGAGAGAGTATTTGGAGCCACATTCAGAAAACAAGAACGCAATTTCTACTGAAAGAAAGGTTATATTATTCCTGAAATTATAGATATAAATTGTAATTGTACGCTTTAAAAATGTAGAAGATAATAAGTTTATCAAGCACATAAACCTTCTTCATTTAATACAAATATAGACATCTGATAAGCTTCTACTCGATTTATGTACAGCAAAAATTACGTTTACTTTAAAATCTAACAGTTGAATACCTTACGAATAATACTGTGAACACAAAAAATGTTCATTATTACGCGAAATTCACACTAAAATAAAAATTTAAAAAAAATAATAATAATAATTATAAAACTATAAAATAGACTTATAATATTTTTTTCAGTAGTTGTACTACTACTAGTGTGATACTTTTAAAAATAAGTTTTAGCCCAGAGGGGCTATTAATTTCGTTTTGCCATTTTGTGGCGTTTCACGATAAATGGCGTTTCACTTTTCAAATCGTTGCCACCAAGTATTATCGCACTCTATTATATTTAAAGAAATTAAATAATGAGGAATCTGCAGACTGTATGAATGTTTCTCGCACTGTGATAAAACAACGGTACCTAGAGCCATGAAATTCTGAATAACGTAATCCTCCATCCTAATATAGGCATCTGGAGGCCCAAATTTGGAACTGGGAATTTGTATTACTATCCATTTCATATATCATATTTTGTAAAGCATTTATGAGTGTTTGATTAAGAAACCCAACGATTTCAAAGCGAGCAATGGCAAAAAACACTTTCATCTCTAGCGCGCGAGACTATGTATCGGAAATTCTAAAAATATGCTTTTTTAAAATTATATGATATTGCTGTTGAATTGAATTTTATGGTTTAAGTGCGAAAAACATGATATTTAATAAATAAAGGTAACACGCAAAACGTTAAAAAAATGGCCCTTTGGGAGTAATATAAAATCTGTTTTTTTTTTTTTTTTTTTTTTTTTTTTTTTTTTTTTTTTGTGTGTGTGTGTGTGTGTGTGTATGTGTGTGTGTGTAATTTTAATACGTTTTAAAACTGGTTTCTAAGTGAGAACTTTCTAAGGAAAACTGGCTCGTATACACGTTACACATGGGGAAAGCCGCGAAAACGCCGTCCAGCTCGTTCGCGGGATTCGAATCTCGGACCAAACTACCTGCGTTCAGCGACTCTACCGCTCGGCGGCTGGTGGGCTTGTTAGCAGAATTATACTGTATTATTATTGTATTATGCTATAAAGTAACAATGCTATAAGACTGAGGGTTTGTTCATGGAATAGTACTTTTGTAACCTATTATAGTATTAAAAAATCATTGTTCCTTTATTGTTTCCTTCGCAAACTTAAAAAAAAAAAAAAAAAAAAAAAAAAAAAATTAAAATACTGTTCATAGCATTCTCATTTTTATATTGTAAAAGAGATATTGATTATTATTAGTTTTCTATTTAAAATGTGTCGAAACGCTGGTTTGATAAGGACTTGAACTGCAGGAGACCTACACTGATTATTTTTACTTTAGTACTTCCATTGTGAAAATATTACTATCTTTTAATTATTTTCAAAGAACAAAATCTTTTGAGAAGGAAGAATATTTAAACTGAGCAGTTCTTATATACAAAATTAAAATAACAGCAATGTAATATTGAAAAAAAGGTATTAGTAATTGTGTGACAAAAATTGCAAAACGAATTAATCACACATACAGGATAGATTAGTTTAATTTTGGTTATATATTTTATATTGAAAAAATATTTTCTTTCATGTTAATTATAGAATAAATTATTTAAAATAAAGCATTTTGATGCATGTGTGATAATTGAATGCAGCAGCAATCGGCCATACTGTAATAGCGAATGAATTTTATTTCTTTTCCTGAAAGAAATAATTTTCATAGAAAAAGAAAATAAAAAAAGGGAAGAAATATTAAGAAAGAAATATTTTCTTTCTAATTTCTTATTTAAAGAAATATTTTTCGAATAGTAACTGTAAAATAAATTACGGGAAAACAGTTTTAATGTAAACATGGGAAAAAAAAAAAAAAAAAAAAAAAAAAAACTTAGTTTGCTATTAGATTGTAATGCAAATTAATCATATTATAAATTTAAATAATTAAAATTGTTTATTTCTAAAAGGATTTGAAGTAAGCTTAATTCATTTACTCTTATCTATTTACCATTGCTTTCATGGTATCCCGTATCACTCTTTATTTCTTACCTCTAAATTCCTGCGTTAACTTTCCCATTAAAAAACGAGATTTTCTTTCACATAACACAGCAGCATATTCTACTGCGTGTTGGTCATAATACTGTTTTGTGCAATTTTTTTTTTCGAACTACAAATGCAGCGTGTGAGTTAGTGAAATAATGGGAGAATATTCTTAGAACTTCAGCCAGCGCGCGCTATAAATTTCGTCACTCGTCTGTACTGCGATTGGTCTAAAGCTCCTTGAAGCCTTGTCCCCTTCCAGTAAAGTAAAATGGACCCACCCGCCCTCCAACTGAGGACCACAGAATGGCTTTCTCCGAGAAGTTGTGATGGCTGTCCATACCGGTTCTTTTGAGTCAATATTGTTCGCTCAAGTTGTAGACAGATCCAGTGATCATAGAATAGGCGTCCTGATACCAGTGTGTAGAATGTCAGGTATCACTTTGTGTTGTCCTTTGTTTTAAAAACTATCATACAAACACTAACATTTAACTTGTTTTCGCTTGCCCAAGATAACTCGGGATATTAAAACTAAATGCATTTACACCTTCAAAAAATTAAAAATTCAACTTAAACCTACATATTTGGATTTGTTTCATTGTATTTAGTAATAAAATATAAAAATGTGATGATTTTTTACAATTTTGTTTGAAAAAAATGTGTAAGGGAAGTGGTTAATAAGGTAAACAAATAAATATTGAGCCTTTTTTTTTTTTTTTGTAAATTTTGATACTCTTTAGATCATAAATACTTCATTATTTCAGAAATCATGATTTCGTATTTTTAATTTTATAATTTTTACATGCCATCTTACTAGATTTAAACTGATGATCTAATATCTGGAAAAATCTCAAATCCGGAATCGCCGAAGTTCCGACGAGTCCAGATTTCGGACTTTGTACTGTACAAGGTTTTCTCCAATAGTGTGAGCCTGCGTAGTCTTAGTAATTCTTATTCTTACTAGCTAACTAGCTTCCAAAGCTTTTTCACTTGAAGTAACAAAACCTGTCATTACTTGTTTACAAATTTTTAACGCCCATAATTTCCTCTCAAAATATTCTTCAGATTTATATTTTAAACTGGCATGTTTAGATTCAGCATGGGAGAAACAATGGTTTCTTGCTTTGATTAGATAATAGTTTACCGCAAACAACACATTGAGGTTGATGGTCCATTCCATCTCTATTCCAAGCAAACCCAAATGATAAACAACTTTTATATTTTTTATAAACATTTTTTCTTTTCTTTTCAATATTCTTAGTACTAGTAGATTGGCCTGGATACATCACTTGTGAATCATCACTTTTCAACTTAATCAGTCGTAGCCTTTTTTTTTTTTTTTTTTGAAAATCTAAGTTTGTTTTTATCATTTTTTTCACAAACATTTAAATGCATAATATATAACGAGTTCTTCAAAAACAAATGATACCATGCTCAAATGGGTAGAAAAGTAAAGAATGCAAAGCAATTAGAAGACAAAATACCTGCTGTTAGAGATAGCAAATCAAAGTTAAAAAAATATATATATTCTAATTGAAAATAGAGAAATATGAGCCGAAAAATGATGGCGATAAAAATGCAACATTCAAATAAATTGATTAACTGTAAAAGAATTAATGAGATAATACTATCTTTGTATAGAAACTTATTTTTATTTCCTGTAAACATCTATTTCTATTACTCCTTTTAAAAACATCATTTATGACAAATTTTATGATATTGTCTATGGCTAAAAGAATATTTGTGAAAATAAAAACGGATTATTTTGCTAAAGTCTATGAGTGGCTCTTTCATATGCAAAACATTTATCTTTTGGGGGGAACTAAGTAAGCAAATATTTGAGGTTTGTATGACACTGAGGTGGTTATAAGGAAATACTAAAAAGAGTACTTTCTGTTTAGGAAGCACTTTCTCTGCCTGATGAGCTTTCTTCTTCAATGTACCTGATACTTCTGATGAAGAATATTCACACACACACACCCAAAAAAAAAAAAAAAAAAAAAAAAAAAAAAATGAAGAAGGGGTAGTTGTTTAACAGCATTTCTTCCTGATACAGAATGCTTTATTACAACTTACATTTGCAAAAATAAAGAGACCCAATGATCGAAAGTGTACAGGTGGGGGGAGGGCTCTCGTTATCATAGCAAGAAACGTGCTCTTTTTATGTACTATCTAAAGCATAAAATATAATAATTTCAAAAAAGAAGATTTTCATTTTTTTCAAAAAAGAAGATTTTTATTGTTACATTTTTAGAGCATTATGCTAGTTCAGTTATGATAGTTTACACATGCAGTGTTAAATTTTTTGATAAAATGAAAATATATATAATTATAAGTTATCATTTTAGTTCTGACTTTTCCTTTTCATTTTATTAATTTTATTATATATATATTTAAATATTGAATTATTGATTTTATATTTAAAGATAGTGTAGCTAAGTGAATTTATTGTCTCTATTTGTAATTTTAAGCCATAGTGTCCTGTTGACGTTTTAAAAAAATCAAATTAATGAATTCTTGATATATATTATATTACTGATTTTTATATTTAAATATTGAACTTAAATTACTTTCAAAAGCCATTTGTCGTATATTTTACATAAGTATTTTCAACTGGATTACATCATCTTAAAGTGCTTAAAAATGTAAATTTTATTTCTAAAATTTTAAATTCCTTCAGAAATTCCCAGTGTTTTTTAATATAGTTTTCTTTTTGTATATCATAAATAGCAGTCAGTTTCCTGATGGCTATCAGGCACAGGTTCCTCCATTCACTTCTTGAAGAAGAGGGACCAATCCATAAGTCAAAATTAGTAATTTTGCTTTTTTACTTACTTTTATATTGTGTCACTCAGTTTCTGTTTGAGTACTAGTGTGTGTTGTTTAATAAGACAGCTGTCATTATATATTTGCATTAGTTTCAGAACGTGGATTTGCTGTTTTTAGGAAGGATTTTGGATTTTTTTCCATTACAGGGCAATGTGCCACAGAGAATTTTGCATAGAAAGATAATGAGTAAACTCTTAGACTAAACATTTTAATAAATAAGGAATGAAAAAGAATTGCACACTTTAAAAACTTTTTATTGACATTACTTATTTTAAACAACCAGAATATTGTTATAAGAAATTATTTAAAAGAAAATTGTAAATAATAGGCAAAATTAGTGCATATGTCTTTTTGGAGAAAATCGTTTGGCACATGTTGTTCTCTAAGCAAAAAGGGCTAGGATTTTATTTCATTTTCCAGAAATTGACCTTTGATATATTTAAAGAAAAGTATAGCTAAGTGAATTTATTGTCTAGTACAGTCAAAAGTCGTTAATTCGGACACCCATAATCCGGAATGATCTATAATCCGGACCTCAAAGCTAAAACTTTCTGCGCATGCGCCGCGTTGACACATGCGCATAGGCGTTTGCACGTGTGCGTAAAACCTTTACGACTGCGCATATGCGTATGCGCAAGCGCAGAATACGTTTTCGCGTGCGCGTTTTATGTAAAACGGACAGTATAAGCTAAAATTATCTAATTATCTATTTCAGTTAATGTTGATGATTGCGTTGTTCCTTAATCTTCGAGTTGGATCCGGCTTATTATTTTTTCCAGACTGTAAGAGCAATTTTATAGAAGTAAACTTGAACTTTCGATTATGTCAAATAGAATTTCCGATGCTGGAGCTCCCAAAGGATCTACAAAACGAAAGTATGTTTCGATGTCCATCAAACAAAAAGTGGAACTGCTGCAAAAAATGGATAAAGACATGAAGAAGGTGACAGAGAGGTTAGTGAAAACGAAAAAATTTCCATTGACAAGTTAGTCGGTATTCTCGGCACAGCAATTACGGGACTTGAACAGCGGAACTTTGTAACTGAACAAGAAATTATGTCTGTTTATAGAATAGAATTAAAGAGAAAGTATTATCACATAAAACGAAGCAACTTAAACAACTTACATTGAAAGAAATGTTTAATAAAGTAAACAAATAAATATTAAGCTTTTTTTTTTTTTTTTTTTTTTTTGTAAATTTTGATACCCTTTAGATCATAATTGTTCTTTATTTCATAAGTTACGGTTTCATAGTTTTAATTTTAGAATTTCTGCATGCCATCTTACCAGATTTAAACTGATGATCTATAATCCGGAAAAATCGATAATCCGGAATCGCCGAAGTCCCGACGAGTCCGGATTAACGACTTTTGACTGTAGTAATTTTGAGCCATAGTTTATTGATGACGTTTAATAAAAATCAAATTAATGAATTCTTGGTAAGCTTAATTTAATGGAACCATAAAAAAATTAAATTATAATTTTTGACTTAAAATAAAAGAAAAGAAGGGGGGTAGCTTCATAGACTATACCTAAAGCTTTAGTTGTGTTTCTATAGAATTAAAGATCAAAATGTTTTTCTTTTAGATGGTTCTGGTGGTGGAATGCAAAGTATATCTCCTTACTTGAATGTTGATCCAGCTTACTTAAATCAAGTATGAGGTTTGACTTCTTTTTTTTTTTTTCCTGTTTTAAATTAATACAATTATATCTTAATGATTGATTTAGAGAAACATAATATAAGCCAATTAATTACATAAGAAAATTCTAGCTTAGTTACATCTTTCTACGTTAAACTTTTTCATAGTTTTTGTATTTTAGATTGATAATGTTAGCATTAATAATACTTTGTTCAGGCTATAATTATTATAGCTATCTTATATACTGGAGCTATAACAGGATCTGAAATTAAGTGTATTTGGTATTTGCCTTCTGTAGTGACCTTGGCAAGAGAAAACAGAATTGGTGCAATTTAGACTTAAGAATGTGTGATTTAAAAATTAGGCAAAAGAACAATTTTATTTTGGCGATAATGAATTCTGTAAAAGGCGAAATTTTCAAATTACCTGAATTTGTAAAGAAATGTGGAAAAGTGATAGTAAATAAAGATGATGTGAGCTGAAGTTTTCTATTGCAATGGCATTCCCTCAATTGCCAAGCAACTAACAGACTGTGAAGTCTGTTGTATGGTTTTAAATCCAGAAAATGTCATCATAGGCATGTTAAAATAAATATCTTCTTCATGATCCATGTTCTTATCCTGCAACATCATTCAAATTACACAAATTGTTATAGTTGTTCCTTGTTATTTTTTTTTTTTTTTTGCTAATGCATATATGCATAGATTCATAAGGAGCAGCTAGCATGCTTCATATCAGATTTATCTAGCTGAAGTAATTTCTTGTCATTTGAAAATTTCCCATTTCAGGGAGGACCAGAATGGATATTTCCCGAAGGTGCATCACGGACTCGGGGTAGATTTGAGCTTGCGTTTTCTCAGATTGGTGGGGCTGTCATGACAGGTAATTTTGTTATTAAAAAAAAGTAATAATAACATTTTGGATACTAATTTATGAACTAGAAAAAGATAAATTGGAAATATTTACCCCTTTTTAAGAAGTTGTATAACCTTGTTTTTTTCAAGGGGGAAAAATGTTAGATTTTATGAGATGTCAAAGTCTGCCAAAGATTGAATAATTTGTGTACATTTGATTCTATGTGTATATAAATATATCAGTTTTTGTTTCTTTGAAAAGTGTGTCATCTTAAAATATCTAAAATTGCAATAAAAGAAATGTAAATATTACAATTCAAGAAAAAATATAAGTTTCTTTTATTCTTTTAGTATTCTTATTGAAATTTTAAACTCTTTGCTTTGAAAAATTTCTCTTCAGGTGCATTTTTTGGTGGTATCCAAGGGTTTTATGGAGGCTGGAAACAAATGAGTTCAGTAGAACAAAAAGCTAGTGTTAGGAGAACTCAGTATGTAACTTTTACTATTTCTTCACTATTTGAATGATTTTGTATCATATCAATTTAATGTATTAGGCAATAATATTTATACATGTAAAAGACATATTTTTATCATAAGATAAAATATTTCATCTTATTTTGAAAGATTATAAAAATATGCTTTAAATAAAATTTATACAAGCTTTTATAGTTCTAATTTATGGACGTTTGCCAAACGAAAGATTTCTTCATTATTTCCAGCTATAATGATTGTTATTCCGTTGAAAAATAAAAACTAACTTCCAAAAGTGGCTAATTTATTGTCACCCAAAAGGCATTTTATTATTTTTTACTTTATTTAATTTATATATGTATTTTAAATTTTTTATTTCTTCTTATATCTGGCATTTAAGTAAAAGGTTATCTTTGCATGTTTTGTTGCTAGCAGGCTTTATAATCAAAACTGAAATATTTTACTGCATGATTTAATGTTGCATAAAATATTAAAGTAGATTTATTTTATGTGTATAACGTTTAAATGTCTCAATACGGCATACCCGAGAAACAGTAAATGACTTGTTGAACAAAAAATACTACCATATCAGATTTTTTTATCAAGTCAAGAAAAATGGATACCATGTTTAATCACATATTTCCCCTTTTCCTTTTAATTTTACCGCTTGAAAACTGGAAGAGAAAAAATATGCATTCTATACTATATAAGATGGCTTAAATGACACTAATAGCACATTAATAAATACACATAAAGGCATATCATTATTATTATTATATTATTCATTTTAAAGAATTTCTCTGTTTCATTGCACAAACTTGGCTATTTAAAAACAGTGTATTACTACTGCCTAAAATAAAATACTGTTATCTTCCACGCATCAGGAACTTGTCATTCAATAAACTGTAAGGTATTTAATCTTTTTGTTATAGATTAATAAGCCAAGCGATTTTAAAGCAATAAACACAATTCTTATAATTTTCTTTCAATATGGTTGATTTTAATAAAAATACATTTAAATCATGAGATGTCTAATTAGAAATATTAAATATTTTTATGAAATTACACTAATTGAACTCACGAAAATCATTTTAAATTTTTTCTTTTCATAATAACTGTTCTAAGCAGCTGGCCATGCAAATAGTTTGTTTTATAAATATGTAATTAGTATAATGTTTATTTATACAAGCTTTTATAGTTCTAATTTATGGACATATTTGCCAAACGAAAGGTTTCTTCGTTATTTCCAGCTACAATGATTGTTATTAATAAACAACATCTTTTTTAAAGTTTTTCATTAAAGTAAGTTCTGCTATAATATTCCTTTAAAAGAAAAGTAGGCTTTTGAGATATTTTATGTTGGTACTATTAAAATATTGATTAAGTATTGATGAATTAATGGACTGAACTTGGTTTGTAATAATATCATTTAGAAAATATGTTATTAGTCATAAAAATATTTTTTCAAGGTGATCTGAAATGAAGAGAGTACTTATTAACTAACTTTGGGCATATTGCACTACGAAATTTATTATTATAAATAGAAAAGTGCTATAATAATAGGCTTTGTTATAATAGGAAAAATGTAAAGTATATGAATTTTTAAGCAAGCTTGAATACAAGTAATTTGCCACAGTCAACTTATATTTAGCATTTATTTCAGTTTTAAGAACTTCATTAAATTTCCAGATGTAAAAGATTAAAATTTTGTGTTTACCTGATTCCTTAATCTTGTTTTTAATTATTGAATTTCCTTTTTAAGTTCCTTCTAATTTTGCTATATACTATGCTGTGTATTTTTGCAATATGAATTTATCATGTGATCATTAACTGGCAATCTCTTTAAGAAAACTAATATAATGAAAACATTTCTAACTGTGAGAGACACAGATAAAAATGATTCTAATTCTGTCTCTCAACTTTATGTGAGAAATATAGGTTAATATAAGAGGTTGCAATCTTTCATCCAAATCCATATGTACTGGCATCATCAAAAACATCAATGTATTTTAATGTAATAACACCCCCTAATGAGGAAATTATGAACTCTGTTTCCTATGAAAATTTCAAATAGAAATACCTGCTTCCCTTTTGGTAATATGCATTTTTCTGCCTCTAAAATATCCTTGTAGTTATTGAATAAAAGATGTGCTTCGTGTTAAATATAATATTGAATAAAGGATGTGCTTCTTTTTAAATATAATATTGAATAAAGGCTGTGCTTAAGTTATATATTTGTTTATTTGATAATGTCATGCCAGAAATAAAGAAATGTATCGACCTATCATGGCAGCTTCACCACCATCATCATCTACATAAGACCCAGAGTTTTATCATACACTGTGCATAAATTTATGAATTACATTGCATTTTTTATTCTGCCATACATTTTCCCCCTTGTTTGGATAAACATAGATGTGCATTTTTGTATAGTTTGGTTTATTTCATTATGGCAAAGCATGTTAAGGTTATCTGCCTATGAACATGGATGCATTCTTGGAAGACATTCAAAGGGAAACTTACTCATATCTACATTACATGTGGAGTACAATGTAACAACCTATGCGAGGAATCAAACTCGGATCAAACTTCCAGTATTCAATGACTTTGTCACTATTTTTGTAGTTTTAAGTACTTCATTAACGCTTAGAAGACTGGTGACCTAAGAAATGGCCAGAGCTGCAGTGTCTCAAAAAGGCGGCTGTGGCTGAAATTTCGGCCAGAGAAATTCTTTAAATTTAAAGGGGTGGAAATGCATTTGCATTACCCATCTTTTTAAGTGAAACCTTTCCAAACTCCCCAGTCTTTTAAAGGTTAAGATGTCTATATAACACAGCATTTCTGTGTTTTAATTTTATTAAAACATACATCATTAATAAAAATGATGAATCAGCACACAGTGTGCTTTGCAACTGATTTGAAAAAGAGCAAGGAAATCTATTCTGTTGGCCATCTTTGAAAGAGACCAATATTTTTCAGAATATAAACAAACAATGGTGTTGAAACATTAACTATCTATTGCTATATTTCCATGGAGCACCAAAAGTATATGGAACTATGAATGATGAATTTATTCAAAAAGTTGTTTGTGATGTTAATTGTATTCAAATTCTTTTTTTTAAACTGGTATCAAACTAATCTGAATTTATGAATTTTTGAGTTTTATTAAAGTTCAAAAATGTATCAGTGCATTTTATTTTTTGTTGTGTAGTGTATGTATATGTTTGTATAGATACATTTATATGTGTATAATGATCTAAATGATGCATTGTTCCATCATTAAAGATATCTTTTATTTCTTTAGATTACTAAATCATATAACAAAACGTGGAGCTGGTACTGCAAATACCCTTGGTGTAATAGGTATGTTAATATAAAATCTCATTTCATTGATAATTGACTACTATTTGTATTGCTTAAAGAGTAATCCATAAAAGTTAGGTACTAAAAGTTGTCAATGACTACTCTTACATTATTTATGATATCTATTAATAATGACATGTTTTTGTGCCAAAATTAGTATTTCATAGTGTTTTCATTTCTTACTAAAAATATTTGCCAACCATGATATCTATTAATAATGACATGTTTTTGTGCCAAAATTAGTATTTCATAATGTTTTAATTTCTTACTAAAAATATTTACCAACCATTGTGTGGGGATGTATACTTTTTCCTTTTATATCTTTTACAATGAAACATAAATTCTTGAAATAAAAAAACTTGTTTTAATGTCTCAAACTTGGAAAAATTCTGACACTGTTTAAAATAGTACACAGACATACACACACATACCAAAAAAAAAAAAAAAAAAAAAAAAAAAAAGTCCCCCTCCCCATGCTTACCTTGGAGGAAGGTTAGGTTTATTTGGATATATCAAAAGTCATAAGGACTATCTACCTAAGGGGAGTTTTGCCTTCATAGAGGGCTTTCTAATGGAAGCTGGTGCTTGTATTATCATTACGCATGGAGGAAAACCAACCATGCAAGTAAGCTCATTAAAGAATGTAATACATAAAGTAATAGTCATTAATATTTTTAATATAAGCCCTTGAATTTTTTTATTCCCCCCAAATTTTGAAAAGTTAATCTACCGCCACCCAATAAAACTTGGTGCACTTCTTTGAATATGCATATCTATACATTAAGTGTCTGGATTCGTAGCGTGCATTTCTTATGTAAAAATTCTGAAAGATGCTGAATTATTGTAAACTAATTTACTCAAAAAATATAAAGAATGCCCTGAAAATAAAAGAGTTGCTCTAGCTGAAAGTAAAATATGTGAGTGTTTATGCATATCCTTTTAAAATAACATGCATTTCCATCCAACCAATTATGTAAATATTAATTAACCCCTTCGAGCCGGGTAGTGAAAACGCGCGCTTATCGCAGAGGCCGGCAGTGTCTTCCGCGAGCGTCTCTCCAGGGCCGGGGGCTTTTTTGCTACTAAGCCTAAATCCATGAAATTTCCGAAGTATCAACGCATTGTTTAATAATGCTCTATAGAGTATTTAAACGGCTTATGCTTTATAGGTATTTTTATATATATACTTTAATTACCTTATTTCTTGTTTAAATGCATATTTTACACATTTTATTTTAATTACTCACCATTTTATGACTTTTAACATTATAATCTGAAAACTAAATATATTACTTAAAATTCTCTTTTCATATGAAAAATTTTAAAACAGGGATCTACACACAGTCCTACGCTACATTCCTTGAACTCGTAATAACTCATTTGCCGTTTTGGAGGATTTTTCGGGAATGTGAACAAATGAAGCATCGTCGTCTCATTTTCTTATCAGTCTCTTCTGAACAAAGTTTTGGAAAATGTCTTTCAGTTAATCTTTCAGAATCAATATCAGAATTTCAGAATCAATATCTGAAATATTTTGCATTATTTCTGCTATTTCATGCTCTGTTAAACATTTTCGACGCTTCGACATTGAAACGGTAAAAACAGAAAGAATTCACGTCTAACAAGATCTAATTATTTTCTAAAAACTGAACTGTAAACGGAAATACTCAACGCTTTAGTGCATATAAAACTTCTACTTACAATAAACAACTACCACGTGCGAATAAAGTGCGATTTAAAGAGACGCCATAAATCATGCCATTCGGAAACATTTAGTTCCCCGTTTGTTTATATAATCAAAAACACGTGTATGTGAGTCATGCTTCTCTCATTTCAAGTAGAAGGTCTAATGCACATGTATCTGAAACCATATGGACGTACAGTGCCATCTTGTGGCAGAAATTATAGTTTGAAAAACGTTCCAAGATACTGGCACAAATACGTGACAGTCGGTAGAGAATGCAACAATGCTCTGGCACGCCTGTGTGTCTGCCGGTAGATAAGTGTGTTCGTTGCTGGCACGTATACGTGACAGTCGGCGCGAAGGAGTTAAATTAGTTTTAAATGTATTTAGAAATGAAAGATTAACCACCAGCCATTGGTGGGGCTCACCTTGGAGGAAATGTAGGATTATGAGGGGAAATATGAGCTAAATGCATCGCTGAATTAGTGTATGACCTGAATTTAAATTCTGGCAGTGATGTGTATAGTAATTATGAAAAATTTCCCTTAGAATATCCTTCACAAAGGTATCCATTTCCTTATACTTATATACTTTGCCATACTTGATTAAGTGAATAAGTAAATCTTTTGAAGACCAAAATACCATGTTGTGATAAAAAGGATTAAAGAAATTTTTCAACTGAAGTTTTGCATATTGACCTTTTATGGTGAATTAATAATTTTCAGGTGTTCACTTTGCAATTTTAAGCTGCAATTAATTAATCAACCCAAATTCTTAAATCCACAATTCATAAGAATGCAATATGAAAATCCACTAAATGAGAAAAATGACTGTGATTGATGAATATATTAGTATATAGAATGGAAAATTGGAATTTTTTATTTACTCAGTATTTATAGCAAACATTAACATTCATCATACCCAGTTTTACCACTTTCACCTTTTGACACTTTTATATCCCTAATAGCAGTGTAGAAGTTTTTAGCATGTATGGACATGACTGTGGTTTTCATGTGTTAAGCACTTGCTGCATTGTCTCGTGCGCCTATTTGGAGCTGAGCTGTCCAACACTAATATGTAATAGTTAAATCACTATTTTGGTTATGATGCCCCATGTCATGTTTCCCATAACTCTCTTTCATGCCTGATATAATCTGGTGAAGAGAATTCTCCACATTAATGACACTGGTCTTCATTGCCTCAATCTATTCATGCATGTATGTATCAATGCATGTCATTATATTGAATTCTCCTCTGACAATTAACTTCTGTAAGTGTAGCTACTTTTCTAAACAAAAATCTTACTATACTTAATTGCTTTTGCTTGGTGCATCATTGTAGACACACCTGTTTTGTCAAACTGCTTTTCCTTGCATACACACATAGCTGACATAATAATAATGGGCATACATGCACACAGATTTTAGTACAACTTTTTGAGTTTCTTACTGGATTAACCTAATAATTTTTGGTGATTAGCTATTGCTGGCCTGTGAAAAATTGAGTTTTACTGATATATAGTTTATAACTGTTCATTTCAGAAAATTTTAGAAATTTTGATGCATAAATACACTATTTATTCATGCATTTTCCCACTTGAAAACCAGGAGGGAAATATGTGGTACATAATATTTCTGAAGAGAATACTTAAATTGTAAACATAGCATATTAAAAAGCATATGTAAAGACACATTATTATATTATGTATTTCAAAGGATTTATCAATTTCAATTATTTTTCACTTGCGTGAAATAATTTCCTTTATGTGCATACATTTTACATTGTTGTCACAAAGTTATAGTTTCTAAAACATGTGTTGAAAAAAATAGGGGAAGAAAGCTTTGAGTAAATGTGATATTTAACATAGTGTGCATTAATTTTGTTACACCGAAAAGAAATTATATTCGTAATTTCTTAAGTTCGTTGATATAGAATTTCTCTCAGTTTCGATGTATAGTTAAATGTTTTTTAATGCAGGCACTGTCATTAATTAAGTTTTATAATAAATTTATCCCACTTGCAGATTTATTTTATTCTTTGAATGTTATTACAAAATGAAGTTTGGGCATAGATATTTGCTTTAGCATATTCAATTCCCTTTGCTGTTAGGTTCTTTATTTTTTCATTAATGGTCATTAAAAGTATTTAATATCAATGTGCAGAAATGTGTACAAATCCTGTAAAAGTATTGCCACTTTGTCTAGCTTTGCATACTTTGCATTGAGCTCTCATGCTGTGGATAAAGTTATTGATAGTAGCTTGCGGCAACAAATCCCATTCTTTTTAAAGCAAGTATTTTAATGTCTGGATGATGTTGACATCATGCAGTAGCCTTTTTCTAAAGTATCCTCGTATTTGTGTAGGATTCAGGCCTGGTAATTTCAGTGCCAATACCAGATAGCAAACACCATCTTCCTCCAGAAAACTATCAATCATTTGAGCTCTTTGTGGAACATTCATTATTAACCCAGTACAAATTATGTCCTCACCATGAGCATTACAGTAAAATCTAACCTAAAGCTCAAGGACCTTATTCTTATAATGCTGTATGGTCATAGTGCCCACATTGAAGACATGCAATGGTGTTCAACCTCAAAGATGATGCCTCATCCCTTAAGGACTCAACTTCACTTTAGGTGGAGTGGTGGTTGTGGCTAATTTCTCTTTGAAGAGAAATGGTGGACTCCAGGTTGTTCAGATAAACATTTGTTGAAAATTACTTTGTATACCTTAAACATTTGTTGAAAATTACTTTGTATACCTAATCTTGACTTCAAATTTGGTGGTCATGTTTTCAAGACATAATTTCCAAATTTGATGTGTTAAAAAATGATGTGCTTGATTCCATAAAAAATGTTTCTGTTCTGCTGTCTGTTGATAAGGATATATGCCACTGAGCATAAAGGGTCTACTTTTTAAGGCATTTGTGTACAATTTGCCTAGAAATTGTTATTCCCAATGCAGTAATGGCATCCTGAGAGAGAACTCTTTATGTATCATCTGTATAGCGTTGTGATGATCTCAAAATGTTTTCTCACTTGTGCTTTTCCATCTTGGCTGTTTGCTAATAACAAGATCTAATTAGCATTAATAAGAAGTGCAGCAGCTTGTGAGTTTTCAGTGCCCTCGAAGATGGTAAGTGACCTTGGGGTTCAATAATGGGTTTGCTTTATGTGAGTTATATCATACCACTATCGCTAAAGCATTCTCAGGCAGTAGCTTTAGATGTTGTTCCATCGTACCAGCTTCTGATTGACTCTTGAGACCACTACATAGTCTTTTCCCAAACTTTTTTAATGCGATATGAGGAGATGCGACTGGTCATCATAAATTGAGCCCATGTTATGGGCACGGTCACAAGCCCTTTGCATTGATGTGATTGATCATTACACTGATGGGTTGTGGCCTCGGTGTATGGGCATGTGTAGTGTGTCCATTATAGCACTGTGATACTACTAATATATGTTATGAACTACATAATACATGTTATGGCATACTGAGCCATAACATGTATTACGTAGTTCAACATTTGCCCTCACGTGGGTGGAGGGGCATGTTGTTGTTCAAGGTTATCCAACTGTGACGATGCTGAGGTGGTATCCTTCTTATTACGTCTCAGTCTGTAGGCAGTATGCTTGTTATTGCTAAGAAATTATCTCGAGGTATGCTCATTTTGCTTGTCGGTCCTTTGCTGTTGCTTCATGATTTTTTGTTGGTATTTTCCAGGTCACCATTTATAGTGAGCTCAAAACGTATGCTTGTTTGTGCTTGCTGCTTGTTCATGTCACGGTCTATCGATACCAATGAAAAGTGTAATAGTGTGCTAGTTTTGATGTTCTTGAAGGTGGCATATGATCTTGGAGTTCAATCATAGGTCTGCTTCTTTTTAGTTAACCTCTTATTGTACTCAGCCGAGTTTACTTGGGTACACTGAACTAAATTATTTTCACACACCCAAGTAAATACGTTTTAAGAACTTTTTTCAGATACATATACAACAGAATATATCTGCTACAGTTTTGAGTTAAAATAAAGAAAGAGGTTAAAATAAGCTGAATTAAAGAATAAAAAAATTGGTGGAAGGAAGATCACTTCCTGAATTTTTATTGGTGCATTAAGGTGTTAAATACCATACTGCTATCGCAAAAGAGCTCATACGTAGTAGTTTCGTATATTTGAACAGTTTTAGTGGTATGAGGATCTGATTGACTTTTGGATTCACTCTGGTGCCGTGCACTTAATGATTTTCTATATGTGTCATGACTCTTACATGCCTTTGGCCAAGTCTGCTCTTCATGGTGCCTTTAGTTTAGAATTGGTGCCATAATATGGATACCATCATTCAAAATTTTCATAAATTTTGAGCAGCTTCCACTTGAGACTAGCCAGCCCAGCCTCAAGCCAACTAGTAGCTGTCCATCTCAATTCATGTGTTTTAATTGTATCGTCTAATCTTTTAATAAGTGAATTTTACTCAAAATCTCTTCCAAAATAAGGTTGCTTTTTTGCCTAATTTTAAACCACCAGATGCTTACATATCATTTGAAATATTAGTGGTAGCTATTTTGAATTATTAAAAAAAAATGTGTCTGTGACTTTAATTTTCGATGTCATTATACCGGGTGGCCATAATTAAACGGACAGTGCTCACAGTGTTCTGTAGCGTGATCTATTTGCGAGAATGACGCCACATTTTGTAGGAATATTACACAAGACGGGGACGATCCGCGAAAAAACAAATTAGTTTCAAAAGTCACCGCTAGGGGAATATTTAGCACTGTGTAATAGAAAATAGAGTGTTAACAAATGCAAATTAATGCGGAATAAAATTACCTTTTATTATGCACATTTTCTGATTTAGTTCCAGTGCAATATGGCAACACTTTTAAAAAAGCGTAAAGTCTACATAAACACTGATAAAGTCTCGTGATCTGTAATATCACGAACGCTGAGCAGAAGAAGTTCTTTATTCAGATTTCACGTTACATCCATTTGCACAGTGCCGGCTGCTTGGGTTTTAAAAGGCAATGTGTTACGTTTCGAATCAATCAGATTGAAAGTTTATGTGCAATGTCTCCTTCTTTAGTCGAGCGTGCGTTACTCGTCAAATTTTTTTACCTCAACCAGTGCAACGCGTCAGCCGTTCTTCATGCTATTAGAACGCACAAAAAAATGCGTAAAGGTAACGGTCCTGTGTCAGTTAATGGGCTAAAAGCAATGGTTGTGACGTTTGAGAAAACAGGTTCTCTGAAGGTTCAGTCAGGCAGAGGACAAAAACCTGTACTACAGGATACAATCAAAGCAGTTGCCACGGTGATTGTCGACAGAGAACCAGACAATATTGCTGCCACCTCTAGCGCTCGTGGAGTACCTCGGAATATGGATATGCCTTACAGTACAGTATGGAAAATCTTACAAAAGATTATCAACTTCTATCTGTACAAGATCAGCCGTGTACAGGAGTTACTGTACCCCGACCATGATAAGCGATTGACTTTTGCCATCACCTTTCTTGCCAGAATGGAGGTGGATGATGCTTGGCCGTGGAAAATCTTATGGGGAATTGAGGCCCACTTTTACCTGAATGGAACTGTGAATACCCTGAACTGCCGAATTTGGGATGACAAATCACCACATGCAGTCACAGCAATTCCCTTACATTCACCAAAGGTAACTGTTTGATGTGGGTTCACAGCAGAATTTATCGTAGGTCCATTCTTCTATGAGAACATTACCCCGACAGGACCGGAAACCTATTCCCAGGAAATTCTATTCCCAGAGAGAAATATCGTCACATGTTGAACAGCTTTGTCATTCCGGCACTTTAGCAAAGGCATGCCTGGGGAAAATCATTTTCATGCAAAATGGAGCCCCTCCACACGTTGCTGTACGGGTGCAACAGATGCTCCGACAGAAATTCACAACTCAAAGAGTCATTAGCCACTACTTTCCAACTGCATGGCCACCTCGGTCGCCTGATCTTACCCCATACGACTTCTATGGGGTTACCTTAAGTCCAAAGTCTATAAAGGAGTGGTCCAGGACCTGGCTACGTTGAAGGATAACATATCACGGACTGTGCGGGAGATTCCTGCAGACATGTTACTTTCTGCTGTTGTGCATACTGTGCGCAGAATGTAATATGTGGTCCACAACAACGGCAGCCACATTGAACCTCATTTGAATGCAAAATAAAAGGTAATTTCGGTATTGATTTGCATTTGTTAACAGTCTATTTTCTATTACACAGTGCCAAATATTCCCCTAGTGGCGAGTTTGGAACTAATTTGTTTAATTCGCTGAATACTTCGTCCTCCGTCTTGTTTAATCTTCCTACAAAATGTGGCGTCATTCTCGCAAATAGATCGCTCTACAGAACACTGTGAGCACTGTCAGTTTAATTATGGCCACCCGGTATATATAATTTTTAAATCATGCATTGAAATCTTTTATTCTTTTATTATTATTTATGTATTTATTTATTTATAAATGTCTATGTATCAATAAAATATCTGATTATTAAAATGTTAATAAATTGTAAATTTTTATCTGTTGTAGCTGTTATGTATAGTGGCTTTGGTGTCGTACTTTCATGGATCCGAGGAGTTGACGATGAAGTCAATACCATTGCTGCAGGTACAGCGACTGGTTTACTGTACAAATCTTCAGGTGAGAATCATGCTTTCCGAAAACTTTTTAATTCATTGAAAATTGTTTGTGATATATTGGTGCAAAGAAGCAGTAGAATTCTTAATAATTATTTTAAATTCAGTGTGAATTGTTGCCTTTCTGATACAAGTGGGAAACTTCCAGTTTTTCTTCTCATCTGATTGACTCATCTGTAAAATTTCTAAATTTCCCAATTTTTAATTTATCTGAATTTAGATCATCTCTTTCAGATGTGGTTCTGAAATAACTTTTGATTTTTAAATGACAAATAAAAATTCTTTTATAAGTTTGCTAATTAATTTTTACTCCATGACAGAGATTATGTTTTAATACATAGCAGAGATTGTTATGACAACAGAGATTATTGTTTTAATTCATAACAGAGATTGGTAAATATTTCACCTCTTCTTCTATTTCACTCAGATTTTCATCAATATAAACTTTGAAAAAATTTAAAATCAAGCAAGATTAGCATAATTACTTAATGTTTAAAATGTTTTTCTAAATTTTAATTATAAATTAGGTTACAATTAGTGTAATGTTGAAATTATGCAGTAATAAAATGTTTTTGTGAAAAATGTTAAATTTGCATGTTGATAAACACGTAGACTCCAACTACTACAAATTTTTTGTAATTTTTATAGAAATTCCTTAAAAATTTCAAGCTATGGGGAAAAAACAAAAATATGGATTTTGCAGAAAGAGGACAAGTGAAGTAGTATTTAAAATAAAACCAACTTATTATTCTGATGATTGGTAAAATGCTCATGACATCATGTATAGCATGTTAAGTTGGTGGTCTTGCTCGTTTTGTAGAATAGCCAATTGTAGATTTGAAAATTCTGACTATTAATCTTTTCATTCAGGCATCTTGCATTCCCTTTCAGTTAGATCACAAAATGCCCCTTGCTAAACGCGGACTTGTGAAATGTGATTTTGCATATGTATGCATTATCTTAATTGTCTTCATTTAATTTGTCCAGTGTGAAAATTTCAAATTTATCTTATACACTGCAGAGAATCAGCTGTGCTGTAATGATCCTCTTCAACCCTTTGAAGGGCTGGTTGTTTGTCAGTTTTTTAACTTCTGAAAAAATGCTAATTTTTCTACACCAAAAGCTATAATCGTAAGTGTCTAGTGTTTCCTTTTGATTCTAAATGGCAGCATCACCCTATGAATGCTCAATATTTTGCAGTTATGAAATTAATATACCTCGTTCCAAGGTATCATGTTGGAAAATTGATAAATTCTATTGGAGGGAAAGAAAAAATTCAAAATCTGCAAATATATGACGTACACATGCTGAATCTTATATATTTACTTCATTTCAGTCAGAAGTGATAAGTAACAGAAGATTGTTTATACGATTTTAAAACTGGTATGTAATATATACCGTCGCCCGCACTGAGAGTACCACGCCAATAGATGGCAGCACCAGTCTTCTCCTTTTCTACTCTGTGACATGACATAATTTCTTTGTTATTGTAACAGTTTATGATGTAATAATTTTTCATGATTAATTTATAAGTCGTTTAGGATTCAATATTATCAAAATCGTAAAAACAACCTTGTATTTAGCGTAAAGTATAATGAAACACTCAATCGATTTCGAGGGCAGCTAAAGGTCCCTCCTCATCAGGAGAAAGAAATACCTAGAAAGAAGAAAATAAAGGAGAAGGAATCTCAGAAACACATGGTCCTTATCAGCACTGCACGTGGTTATAACTGGATTTTTAATCAGAGTTGCACTGGCCGCCTACTTTTAGTTAGCCAGGCTATCTGATCAAGCATAAAGGACAAGGAAAATTAGCGAAGTTAAAATAGGGAGCGAGGGGCAAATGCACCTTCATGCTCAAAATCTGAACTTCAAATAATGGAAAGCAACCACTGAACGGATTTTTATACCCTCTGGTAGTACCAAACGCACCAAACGCGAGGAGGTAATGCCATCTATCGGCAAAAATAACTGAATTAAGATAGTAGAATTTTAAAGGCATAAGGAAGGACTGGATTGGACTTCAAATCATTAACTAAACCTGCTAAATCTTTGTGAATGTGAAAAGCCTCAAGAAAATCCAATTCACCTATGGAAGAAGCCTTTTGCATAATTTTTGCAGACTCAAAGTCAAAATTATGGTTAAATGTCCACTTATGATACGCTATTGAAGACTTGTTAATTTCGCCTTTTCTGACATAAGATTCATGTTCCTTGATACGAAACTTCAACGCTCTTTTTGTTTGGCCAATATATCTTAAACCACACTGACACGATATACTATAAATTCCCCAAGAATTCAAGACAGAAATGCAATCTTTTAGAATCGAAGGGTGAATTTTATTAATAGGGGAGAAACCGACTTGAAAATTGAATTTCTGGAGAATCCATGCAATTTTATAGCTAACAGAAGGACGTCCTTCTGTTAGCAAGTAGCAAGAGGTTGCTAAGCATGGTTCGATTAAACCTTTCTATCATACTGTCTGACTGGGGATTTAAGGTGTCATTGGGTTTTGTCTATGCTCAGTAGTTTGCAGAGGTCTTTAAATACAATCAAGATGAAATTTCCTTTGTCAGAATGTAACTGAAGAGCCATTCAAAACCTCTGATACCATGACAGCCTCTTGATCAGAGACAGGGTATGCTTCAGGCCACTTCCTAAAGTAATCAATGACAATGAGGATATATTTGTTGCCATTAGCAGTTCATGGCTGAATGTTGAAGGCGATGCTTTCAAAAGGCACTCCCACATTGTAACATTGTAGCTTCCCTCAGTTGTATTTCTTCATTTTTTTCTGGCCCACACAGGCATCCAAGATTGGCACCATTGTTGCACATCAGTTGTATTACTCCAGTAAAAGTGCTTCTGATACAAGATGCCATTTCAAATATGTAGTGAGTCTGATAGAGATTGTTTTTTCATATAATCATAGCTCGAAATGACCTGCCAGGTTGATTTCTTATTTGAAGATTCCATAAGGTCAGATATGGGTTTAATGTCGCCATTTTAAATCTGGTCGTTTCTAACTTATTCATCATTGTATGGGTTCAGGATCAGACAGTGTTCAATTTGTAACTTGAGGTGTGACTGTATGAAGCAGCTCGTATATTTAACTTTGGAACAATATGGACAGTTTTCTGGGTATGGTCTTCTTGACAGGGCATCGCCATTTCTCTGTGACAGTCCTTTTTTGAAGACTAGTTATGTCATATCCCTGGAGTTCTTTGTATCTATCTGGATATTTGGCCTTCCGGAATCTTGAAATTTAACTACCAGGTCAACGTGCATGGTCTGTGTGGAGTGGGAATTTTTCACTGTAGAGGTAATGGTGTTCTACGGCTTTAATTATGGTGAGAAATTGAAATGTTCTGCCAGGAAGGTATTTTATTTGAAGACTACATGAGGTCAAATGGGTCACCATCTTAAAACAGATTTTTCGTGACTTCTTTATCATTCCATGGATCGTGATCAACCAATGTTGAAGTTGTAACTTGATGTATGACCAGATTAACCAGCTTGTTTTTCTCTTTGACCCCTGCAATGATATGAGCAGCTTTCTGGACAGGGTCCTTTAGACAGGGCATCGGTGTTCCATGTGATGATCCTATCCAACATCATATTCTCCACGTACTGATTTTTTCTCTGTATTCTTCGGTGGATTCAAGTTCTTTATCTTGATCTTTGGAATCTACTAACTTTTCTACTTTGGTATCCACAACTTTGAGACTTTCAAATTTGTTGTTTAATTGTTCTAAGTACAGCTCCAGCTCACTATCAGTGGCAGTTACTTCTGTTTTTGTAATTTCTGCTTCAATTTTTGAACAGAGTTTTGTAACTGACGCTGTTTAATGTTGATCGTTTTTGAATACACAAATTTAATGCTTCAGTGGCCATTTTACTGAATTTATGTTATGTTTATATGCTTAATTCAACTTCAATACTAAATATGATATTCAAATATATTTCTGATAAATTATATCATATTACGTAAAATACAGATCACCATTCCAGCGTGGGATGCCATGTTAAAAAACTGACTTGATAATTTTTTAGTTTCTTTAAAAGTTTTATTTCAAATGAAATATAAAAATTCTGCCTACCTGTTCTTCCCGTGTGGTGACTGTATCTCCTTCGATGTTGATTCAGCTTACAATGAATGACAACGTAACTAAATGGCCACATGGTTAGACTAGCCCTAGAATATATTTAAAACAACATTGAAATTACAATTAAAATGATACAGTCTCAAGAATACGTCGTTAGCATGTCATGGAACACATCTATCTCTTTTTCCACCGTTCCAAATGTGTTGTAGTTAGAAGAGTTGAGTTGCAGTGTGCTTCTCACAAATGATAACTATGCGCAAAATTTTAAAGGCTCTGTTTTTAACACTCCCCCTTTTGAGTTTTGAGAACATTAATCCGGAACTCAATACCTTTTTGCCCTATCTTAAGGGAGGTTTAACAACACGTCCAGTTTTTGTTCTAACAAGATGGTAATCGTTTCATAGAAGGTTCTCCTTCTAACATAGATTTTCCACATTGGCGACATAGTTCTCGTCATCCAATTCTAAAGGACACAGTCTTTGATGGGCCACAAGTCCTGCTTTAGTTTTTATTTTGGCGGTTCTAGCTACTCCATCTTTGCTGGTGTAAATTGATAATATTCTTCCTAAAGGCCAATAAAATCTTTTGAGGTTATCAGTCCATATTAATACAATATTTCCAATGCTAGGGACATAAACTTTGTTTCGAGCTATTGCCCTTTGTTGCAATTGACCCAAGTATTCATTTCGAAACTTGACTTGAAGATCGAACATCAGCTTTCTTCTGTAAACCAAATTTTTTTCAAGTCTTTGCTAGTAGATTTTATTTGAACAAAATCAGTTGTATTGCTTAGGCAATTCTCTTTCAAAAATAGATCAGGTGTTAATGGGTTTAAATCCTCTGGATCTTCACTGACATAGATTAGATGTCTAGCATTTAGTTGGCTTTCACAGTCAC